GATGATAAGCTACTGAAGGTGGGAGGAGCTTCATGTAGATCAGGCGCCGCCTGCTTCATGTAAGCGTGTATTTAGACGTGTGTGTTTGTGTGTACAGGTGCTGGACCGCCTGCTGCTCTACCTGCGTCTGGTTCACTCTGTCGATTATTATAATTTCTGTGAGTATCCCGCCGAGGATGAGATGCCACACCGCTGCGGGCTGATCCACGTTCGAGGACCCCTGCCTGTGGGCAAGATCACTGCAACTGAGGGTACGCACACGCATACACTGCAGATCATCCGTTCATGGTATATTTCTAGGAAAACAGGACACATAAAGTCCTTCGCACCTGTGAATAAGACACACTTACCTGGGGTCACAGCAGCCTTTGAACCTTTATGGAAAATTTCGCGGTATGATGATCGAACACATCACAACATGTTTTTAGTTTATTTAATCTCAAAACACTGAGGCGTTTAGGGAACATCTGTATGCTACAGCTCCGAATACACGGCTGCAAAGTTGACGTTAGTGTTGCTGTGCTCTGATTGGACAGTGAGTGAACACCAGCGGATGTGCGAGGAGCGCCTGGCTCCGCTGCTCTCGCCCTCTGAGACTCTGACTGAGGAAGAAGCGACCAGGCTGGGGAAGAAAGACCCGGAACTAGAGGTACGACACACCGCCCGCCACCAGATGTGTCCCACATGTGCAAAAAGAAGGGAAAAAGTGCTACTTCCTGTTCCTTTCACAATAAAAGCCCTTCATATTATCCAACTACTGACTTTGAGATTATTAGACGACCTCCTGACTTGCAGCCTATCACAAAACGATTCAGATCAAGTCTTGTCTTTGATTTTACAAGTTCTAATTTTGTTTTCTTAATCATTCCTCATCAACTACAAGAAAATGTTTTGGAAAAAGGAAGTAAATTCTCATAATTACTCATTAAAACAATGTTACCTTTTTATTATTATTTATTTATTTGTTTGCTGTCAAAATAAAATTAAACATTGTATTGTCGGCGTGTATATCTCCAATTTAAGTGTCGTTAATTCAGGATTGTATTCATAATTCATTTGACATTTCAGAAATTAAAAAAAAACAATAGAGATTTGCAGCCATAGAAGGAATGACCTTTTAACAGCGTACGACCTTTTCATAGAAACGACCATAAACACAGTGTGTACGTGTGAGTGTAAGACAGTTGTGCCAATGACGAGCTCTCCTCCGTGTGTCTCACCTGTGCAGGTGGAGAAGTTCCTGTCGGCCAACACTCAGGAGCTCAGCAAAGACAAGTGGCTGTGTCCTCTGAGCGGGAAGAAGTTCAAGGCTCCCGAGTTTGTGCGCAAACACATTCTCAACAAGCACGGCGAGAAGGTCTCCGGTGTCCGGCAGGAGGTTGAGTTCTTCAACAACTTCCTGTTGGATGCTAAAAGACCTGCCCTGCCTGAGAACAAGCCCCTCCCACCGCCTTCACAAGGTTGTGCCCCTGGGACTCTGTTTTGCCGTCTATTCACGTTACTGTTTTTTCTTTTCTGACGTGTTTCCTTCTCTCCGCCTTTAGCCGCTCCTCCGGGTTTACCAGGATTTCCCGGACAGTCGCCGCAGCAGCAGAGCCTTCTGGGATATCCGCCTGGAGTCAGACCACCCATGCCCGGTTTCCCAGGTATATATAACCACAAACATAATAGAATTTAAGTATTTAAAATGAAAAAACCTCAGCTTTGCTTTTTCAGTGCAGCGATGCAGTCGTTTAAGGTGTATGTGTGTGTGGGTGTTTTAGGCGGTGCACTCCACCATCCACCAAACCAGTTCGGAGCTGGGCGGGGTAACTATGACAACTTCAGAGGTCATTTAGGAGGCGGCGGGGGGTTTTCTGGGAAACAGCGAAACAGCAGGTAAAGAACATGCGCCGTGACGACAACACACTGGAGTGTATGAATCGCATCAGTTATCTCACTGTGTGTGTGTGTGTTTGTTTGCAGGGGCATGC